GGTGCTGTAAAAAGATGCGTAGAGATGAGAGCGCCGAGCGAGCGCTGGGCGATCCTCCAACTGTACCACATACCACACGAGAACGCGCGCTGGCACAACAAATGCTCATTTTGTGGCAACAACATGCAACGCATTCTCGATTCATGAAACCGGATTGGACAATTCCGCTGGATTGATGAGTTGATCGCGATGCAAAAAGTCAGAGAAGAGTGTTGGTTTTACCGGTCGAGCACATCGTATGGCCCATGCAATAAGCAGCTTCATATCGTTCGAAGTCACGCACCCTGTTCTGATCCGATCGGCCCCGCCTTGATTTCATCCGTGTACGTCAATCAGAAATTGAATGGAGAAGGCCAGCACGGACAGTAGTCACGCATGCCTCACAACTACAGCCGTGAAATGACAAGGCAAATAGGCGTAAATGCGCGCGAACAGACCAGCAGCGCATTCCCATATGTGATTGCGATCTTGACTGTGGTTCGTGACTTCAGACTGTTGCATGGCCGGAGCAATCCTTCGGAAATAGATAGCGTCAGAAGGTTCATAGCAATAAGATCACTTGATCCAGTCACAGTCACGAGTTGGTTGGCGCTTATTGACACAAAGCGCTTTGATGTTACCCTTTCGCTATCATCAAGGCTCATCCTTACGATCGGACCTCCATGCATGGCCTACTCTGCCGCTTTGAAACCTCATGAATGACATCGAGTGCGCAATAAGTCGCGACTCACGAGTCATATGAGTATGATTAGGCAGATGATAATATCTAACCTTGAATCGCATCCGTTCCCGCCCATGCTGCTTGGTAATTGCTGACTTAGGAGACGAGCGCTAATGAGGCGTGCGTTGTTTCTAGCGTCGCGCGCCGCGGAGGTCTAAAGTGCGGAGTCAAACATATGAGAGCATCAGGTTCCATCGCATCGCGTTCGTGACACCACAACAGGAGAGATCGCCGCTGCATGAAGCTTTTGGCCCAAATGTATGCACGCGCCGCTCAATTCGTGACTCCTTTGGGCGACCTCTTTGGATGGACGCCGCTTGGCTGTCTCTGCATGGCATTCAACCCAACGGCGTGGACCAGAAAGCAGACACAGCATGCAGCACCGAGGGGTCGACGCGGCATGCATGCACGGCTTTGCTGCGAGCTGCACGCTTGGAGACGCTAGCGTCGGATTGCGACTTCTTGCATGATCCACATGCCGTCCGCCTGGACTTCAACAACCTTGATCGCCGTGCTGCCCACACGCAGCCATGCAGGATTGCGGTGGGCCTTGCTTCCAAATGTGGGTCTGACGCCTCTGGAGCTGCTGCTTCTGGCCGGGCTTGAACTTCACGAAATGCAGCCAGCCGCGGCCAAGTTGCGCTTCCGAGGCAGACGCGGTCAGCCACAGGCAGGCAGGCAGGCATGCAGCGAGCGCGGTGAGCGCAGATGACCATGTAGACTGGGCGCCCTTCCGACGATCCTTTTGATTCCTTCAGATTGCCGCGAATGGATCCACCGTCCATGCGCACAGATGCATCAGCCATTGTCACAATACACACCCGCAATGTGCCGCAATGCGGTCAGTTCAGACCGCTCGCGATTGTGCTTCCGCGAAGAGAGACGTCAGCTGCGAGTGAGCCGGATGAGCTTCATCAGAGACAAAGTGGGTCGTGTCTCACATTTGGATCCATCATCCCCAACCCCACCAACAGCAAATCGGCCGACTCATCTCACAGTCTGTCGAAGCTTGTACGACCCCTCCAACCCTAATTTCTACACCCCTCACTTCAGGATTTGACCACCAGCACCACTGATAGAGGTTCAGGTTCGACTCTTGAAGCCTCCACCGCATCCACCACACTCGTTCTTTCGTCCGAACTTTACAAACGGTCTTGTCTGGCTTCGTTCTCGCATTCACTCTCGAGGCTTTGCAACAGTCGTCAGCCAGTCTGTAGTCTGCTCACGCCCATCACAATCGATCGTCCTCAACTGCGCGCATTCACTCATTCATACTGTTCAGTCTCCGTCTCACAATCTGATCTCTTGGGACTTCAATCTTCAAGCCCTGTATCAGCACTTTCAAATCCTGGCATCTGCTGTCCAGCCTTTTGCATTCTACGTCTCTGCTCTGCAACTCTCATCCGCCTTTGCCCCCACATTTCGTCCATTGGTCCAGATCGCGGTCCGCTATTTCAACATTCGCTTCATCCTTTCCAACTTCACAGCATCCAACACCATGCAGCTGAAGACCGTCTCTTCTGCTCTCGTGGCGTTCGCGTTCTGCGCCATCTCGGCCTCCCAACCAGCAGAGGCTTCGCCAGAGAAGCGCGCCATCACTATGCCCATGCACCGCCGAGCAGCAGCCAACAGCCGCGGCATCATGACAAACTCCGATGGATCGGTGGACCGTCGAGCACTCGCGCTCGAAATGGCTCACGTTCAACGTCGATACGGTAGCGACGCCGAGGATGAGGAGAGCGAGCCATCTTCGCGCGAGAAGAGGTGGGTCAACATTCCCAAGCTCATCACCGAGGGCATCGCAGACATGTGGGAGGACGTGCTGGACTCCAACCACGGTGTGGCTCACGTCGCGTCCCAAGAGACCGAGACTGGCACCACCGGCAACCGTGTGTCCGGCACCGCTTCCAAAAAGTCTTCTCACCGCGTGCTCAAAACTTCCAACGGTCCTCAACGCAAAGCACAGTTGCCCATGCGCGACATCCTGATGAGCTCGAACAGGGAGCTGGAGTTCTTGGTCGAGGCAAAGATAGGCACGCCCGCTCAATCCTTCTGGCTGGACCCAGACTCTGGCAGGTGAGTGGCGCACGTACGCGCACCGTGAACAGTGCCGATGACGATGCTGACGGTGTCGCCCACCCGGCCTTTACGTCCTCAGTTCTGACTCTTGGGTCAAGGGAAAGAATTGCAACGGCGCAAATTGCGGCAACGCCTCTCGCGCGAGGTATTTGCGTAGCAAGAGCTCGACCGGCATCAAGACTCCAGGCGACAAAACGTTCACCTTGCAGTACGGCATCGGAGATGTCGAAGGTGCTTTGATTCGTGACACATTTGCCCTTGGTGACATTAACATTGCCAACTTTACAATCGGCGCGGCCACGAAGCTCTCAAAGGACTTCAAGACTGACAAGGCAGACGGTATCCTCGGTCTGGGCTTCCGCGAACTCGCGTCCGCCCACCAAAAACCATTCGTGGACCGTGTGACCGAGGGCAACAACTTGCCCCAGCCGGTCATGTCATTTGCGTTTGGACGCCACTTGTCCGGCACCGACGCGAAGAGCGAGATGCTCATCGGTGACGTCAACAAAAGCCTCTTCAAGGGCGACTTGGCATACTACGATGTTCAGCAATCGGGCTACTGGGAGTTCAAATTTGACTCTTTCGCTTCCGGAACTGCCAAGGGCGTCCAAAAGGGAGCTGGAATCGTGGACACAGGAACAAGCTTGATCGCAATGCCTTCTCAGCAAGCCAAAGCTTTTTGGGCCGACGTCAAGGGCTCCAAGTATGACTCTGCCAGCGGCACCTACACCTTCCCCTGCGATGCAAAGGTGGATGCTACGCTCTCCTTGCCAAATGGCAAAAAGTTCTCGTTGAACGAGCAGGACCTCAACATCGGCACGGACGGAGCTGGATCCAAGCGCTGCGTCGGTGCTGTGCTCAGCAGCTCTACACCCGGTCAGACCATCTTTGGCCTCGCTGCGCTCAAGAGCGTGTACACCGTGCTGGACTTTGGCGAGAAGCCACGCATCGGCTTTGCCCCCATCAACTTCTAATCGTCACACGTCGACTGTGCACACCGCACACTTCGAGACTTCTGCCAAGCTATGTTGGGCGGACAGCCTCGACACATTGTACATACCTCTTGACTGACCTTGCTCATCTCGACTCTCTGCTGCCTGCTGCTCCGAGTCTGCATCGAACGCTGCGCGTTCAGAAGCAGCTTGATTGCGAGCGCACAGCCCCTGTGTTCCCAACCGGACCTTACTTTGTTTCCTTCCAGTACATACACATTGCAATCCATTCAAAGTCTTTCTTCCCTTGCTCCCTCTCCGTTCTATGTGCCGTGATGCTTCATGGGTGCATGTGTTCTCGCGCGGGTGCATATCAGTCGGGCGACCTTGCCCCTCCCTTGAGACGCGATCGCGACGTATGCGATTCGCTGTGCGTTCCGCACTAGGTACTCGGCGCAGGAAATGAGATTGGAGGAAAGTAATGCTGTACACGGCTTGACACGCGGATTCTGAAGTCGCAATTGCGCAAAAGCGACCAAAAGCGCTCGCAAAGGATGCACTTGACTGGTCCTGTAGAGCGGCCATGGGGGTTCGAAGACGTCGGTATATGGTTGAGTGGTCATTGTAAGGGCCAACGCCTGGAAGCGTCGAGGCTATTCATCCCTCCTGCAGAGCCGTCTTTGTTCCCGACTCCTGACTCGTTGATCTGCTGAAGTGGCGCCGCACTTCCTTCGCTGCTTCTTCGCTCCTCTTCAAATGGCAAGAGCCTAATTGAACCAGCCCCTCTGCTCTCCTTCCTTCTTGGCAGCTTTCAAAGCTTGCTTGGCTATGCTCGTCGCCGCATCGGCTGTAGGATCCGTCTTTACAAAGAAGGAAGAGGCATGCGCAAAGCCCACTGTGCTGTCGAATAGGAACTCTCCGCTGCCGAGGTACCAGGTGGTGATGGATCTTGCGGTCTCGTTTGGAATTCGAGCCACGTCCGGACTGTTAGGAGTCATCGTACAACGCCATTGGGATTGGAATGCGAGTGACGAGAATCGAAAGGGCAGAGGAGGGAAAGGAGGTTTGTGCGGTGTCAATGAAGCAGGTACTGGATCAATGCTGTTCACGCCTGCTTCACTCGTCCTCAAGGCATCGACGCATCAAGCCAAGCACTCACGTCCAGCCGCTCTGTCTCTTTACACCCGCCAAGGCTGTCGCTAGCAACGCCGCATCGACTGCGTAATGTGCAACTCGTCCAAGCACCATCTCGAGTGATTCGACTTGGTCCAATAGGGACGACGAGAAGGAGCGCGTCGGGTAGATTAAAGTGCGAGATGAGTGGCTGAATCAGAGATGCGCAAGCTAGACAGGTTGTCGCGCGATCGGAGAGTCGCTCGCGCTGCTGCTGTGAGTCTGATCGGAAACTTGATGAGATTGCTGCGGTTGGGTGCTATGGACACTAGGCGATACGAAGCGAGCAGGTGAGTTTGGTGATCAACTTGGATGGTAGATTGGGAGGAGAGAGGGTGTGCGGGCGCTTGCGGGATGGTGGGACTGGCGGGATGGGGATGGATGAGCCAGTTTAGGTCACGATGGAATCGAGCGCGTGTGTTTCTTGGCGTTGCGTGTAGGTACCGTACAGTGTGAGTATGTATGCTGTTTGCTGTGCAATTTACGCCCGAGTCGCCGCGCGGTTGTGACCACCATGCAGTCAAGATGTGCGTGCAGAGCGATGAATCTATCAGACAGTCACAGTCACGAGTGGTGGAGTCTTGGTACCTACTGTACGGTACCTACAGACGTGCAGTCACGGGTGCAAGCAAGCTCGGCACGCGAGGACGGCGATCGATCAATCCTGCTGCTGAATCCATGAGCAGCACACACACCTGCCTCGCAATCACGCACGCGCCCTGTTCCGCCAATCTGAATCGCGAATCGCCATGGCAGTCACGAGAATCGCACTCAGACTGACGAATGGCAAGATGCGTGCGCATGCAGGCAGGCATTCAGATTCGTGATTATTGATGCATGGCCAAGCCTACAGGTCAATCAACCAGAATGCTCCTCCCTCACACGCTCGACGTGTGATCGTCGATCGAATCTGCATACAATCCATGACATCAAGAAGGACTGAAGAGCAGTGCGCGCACCATAAAGACCCAGAAGACGTCTTGGCTCCCCAACCTCCTTCACGACATTCGCAATCCAAGCAGGCAAGGAGCCGATCGCAGTCTGCTCGACGTATACATCCAGCTTGCTTCAAGCGGGGGAGGGTACACCACCAAACAGAATAGTGATAATGTCATCATCCTCCTTCAAAGTAAAGCTAAAGCGACCTTCTCAGAGCGCCGGCTCGAGCGCAGCTCCAAATTCGGCCAAACCGTCCAGCGGCAGCGGCGTTTCTCGCGCGTATACGGAATCCGCATCTACATCACCTCTGGGTCCTCAAGCCGGTGGGAGCACCACTCCTAAGAATGTTGCCAAGAGGGCAGCGGATGGAATGATCGACGCAATGGGAGTGGGCGAGGAGGAGGGTGAGGGAGAAGGTGGTCTAGAGGAGGAAGAGGAGGAAGATGATGATGAAGAGGAAGAGGAAGACGAGGAGAGGGATGAACTTGAAGGAGGTGAGCGAGCGTCATGGTCTCGGCCACGTTTGCATTTCCGACGAATTCCAATGCTAATCTCGATCGTCTTGCCCGCTCGCTCATACGGCAGACTCTGATGATGCTGCATCCGACCAGGTGCAGCTCTCCACTGGCGAAGGGGCCGTCAGAGGTAGCTCATCGACCCGTGGAGGGCGGGGCAAAGGCAAAGGAGGGAGCAAAGGAGGCAGCAGCAGCAGCTGCAGCGCCCTCCATCCCCTAGCCAAGGCCAAGATCAAGAAAGCGTCGGCGCTGAGCGTGGAAGAGATCGATAGCATGCCACCTGCAAAGAGGCGAAAGAGTCACAAAGCCAGAGGAGCACCGGGACCTGGTCGGGGGTGGAGGAAGGGTCTCAAAATGTGAGCGACGGCTGCCCTTCGAAAGGAAGGAGGGCACGAGGCGGCTGCTGACTTCTCTTGCTCTTCCACAGGGGGCAGAAACCAGTTTACACTGGGCCAGATGGTTTGGCAGCAGCCGAAGGTGAGTGAGCTGTATCTTGCAAAAGAACGGCGCAAGGATTTGTCCAAATGCCCTGACGCTACGTAAATGCTCGTGACTGATGGCGGCCGATCTTACGACCCTGCTGGGCAACAGCAACGCCTTCGAGCTTTGCGGGAAGTCCGAGCGCCGAGTCGCGACTGGCTTCGCCAGCTGTCAGCTTGAAAGAGGAGAAGAAGCCAAGCACAAAGATCGCCGCCGCTTCTCCGAGCACCAAGGTATCTGCGCCAGGAGCAGGGCTAAGTAAGGCGAACGTCGCTTCAACAGGCGCAGCTTCAGGTGCACAGGACGCCAAGAATTCTTCGAACGTGCCTCGAGGGACGTCTGGTGTACGATATCCGCCCCTACCCGCGGCCAAGAGCGGACCCACCATCTTGCCCTTGGCTCGCATACCTATCGGATTCGCCAATCCTGCTTCATTGGACAGAACAGCTCAAAAAGCGCCTAGAAGATGGATCAAGAAGCCGAGACAGATCCTGTCCCTTGGCGGTCGAGTATGGACAGCGCCTACGTGGATATCTGACGTTCCTCCCAAACTTGCTCCGCCGAATGCAGAAGGTGCAGCGGCGTCATCTGGCAGCGGCGGGATCGGGAGCGGCAGCGCAAAGAAAGACAAGGAAGGAGACAAAGAAGGGGCCAAGTCCAGACCTTCTAGTCCTGCTGCTGCTCGAATCATCAACAAGACGGCACCCGCCACTTCGAGCCCTCTCGCTTCTCGAAAGTCTCAAGTACAAGCGCAGCAGCAGCAGTCTTCAGAAGATCAGGATGGTTCCGACGCAGATAAAGTACAACTTCCTGGGTCTCCTTCACGAGGCGCGTCAAGCAGTGGCCCAACCTCGCTCAAGAATCCAAACCTGTCCGCTACCAAAGCCAAGTCGAGCTTGTTGGCGCCCCCTGCGCCTGCAACGAAATCGGCAACGAAAGCGGACACGAGCACGCCTTCCGGCACCGCTTCTCCGGTTGAAGCGCTCGATTGGAGAGGCTCGAGCCCAGCTTTCAGGGCCGGTGCACGCCATTGAACTGCATGCCGAGCTGCTCTCTTGTAGGCGATTCGCCTCCCCTTTGTGCTTTAGGTTTATCGGTTGCCACGACACTCTTGTGCTTTGTGTACTGTTCACAAAATGCCCTGTCAGTCTTGCAGCGTTTGAGAAATCAATTTGTCACCTACGGCGGGCTGCACAAAACATCAATCACCCGCTGGCCAGTGCGGCGTAGCTCGTGCAATACAAAACGATTTGCTCATGCGTTGTGATGGGCAGGATTCCGATGTAATCGCAATTTTGCCGCTATTCAAGTGTCTTCCACCAAACAGCCCATCCCTTTGTGTCGACTCTACATCCGTGCCAGCGAGCATCAGTTGCCCTTGTACCCAGCTTCTGACAAAGATTCCTTCAGGCTTTTGAGCAGGTGGTCGATGTCGCCTCTGCTAGGGTCAACAACGGTGACTCCCATGTGTCCAATTCTGAAATAAGTGTCCTTGACCTCTTTGTGCAGCCCGGCGGCAATGACGATGTTCTTGGCCACCATCTTGGGCAAAAGGTCACCAGCCTTGATGCCCTGAGGGTACTTGACTGCAGTCATACCGTTTGCGCCATCCTTGATTCCGTCCGCTACCAGTTGCTCCAGACCCAGGGATTGCACAAAGTTCTTAACCTTGGCGGAGACCGCCTTGTGCGCTGCGAAACGGTCTTCGAGGGATACGGAGCCCTTGGTGATGGCTTGAAGAGAGGCGTTCAATGCATAGACTGCGGAAGAGCGTCGGATGCCTTGTCAGCAAACAAGGCGGAGTGCATCACGCTGCGTCCCCAGCCTCAAGCTTCACTCACTAAGGTTGGTTGGAGGAGTACCAAAGTAGGCACCGGTTCCAGACTCGTATGCCTTCATGACGGGCAGCCACTTTGCCCAGCTGGCAAAGTACGAGTTGGGAGGGGAAGTGCGCTTCTCGAACTTGGCAATGGCCTTTTTGCTGGCAGCCAAGACCATGAGGCCAGGAGGGCAGCCGAGACCCTTCTGACTTGCAGTGAGCACAACATCGATGCCCCAATCTTGCATCCTGATCTCTTCGGACCCGACCGAGCAAACTCCGTCCAAGACCAAGATGCTCTCGGGAGACACTCTCTTGACCAGCTCTCCTAGACCCTTGGCATCGGAAAGAACTCCGGTAGAGGTGTCCACGTGTGTGAAGGTGACCACTGAGTACTTTTTGCTCTTGAGCGCTGCTTCTACGTCAGACAGGGCAGGCTTGGATCCAATGGGCGCTTTCAGTTGAGTCACTTTGGCACCGTAGGTCTCGAAGCACTCTGCAAAAGCTGAAGCACCGGCGCGGGTCAAGAGTCAGCTTTGCAAAGAGCTTTAGATCCTCACAACGTCATGGGAAGGCGACTCACAATCGCCAAAGTAGCCCGAGTTGAGTACCAAAACGTCTTCGCCCGGTTGAGCGACATTGGCAGCGACGTGGTCCCACCCAAGGGTACCGCTGCCAGCAGTGATGACGGGTTGTGATTCGGGCGCAAAGAGAACCTGCCTGAGCATGCGGATGCTGTCGCCTAGGATGGGCACAAAGTCGGGCGAGACGTGCGAGCTGAAGAAACCGCATACAATCGGGTCAGACGAAGCGCGCAATCAAGTACGAGGGGGGATCGGAAGAGTCTGACTCACACAGACGGATGAGCGTTGGCCCAAAGCACATCATCGGAAACCTCAATGGGCCCAGGAATAACGAGGAGCTGGTGTGCAGACGAAGGAGTGACCTAATCAGCCTTGAAGGAGCTAGACCAGCTCGCGTGGGACGACGTACCTTGTGAGGCTCCTGTTTGAAACCTGCGCTTCCTGCTGAAGAAGACATTGTGGCGGACAATCGAGGAGAGGGGGGTGGGCTCGTGACGGGCGAGGAAGGGTTGGAATGTCTAGCGGGAGAAGCAGATAAATGCGATGCGACTTGTAGAGTTCTATGAGTTACTCTAGCTTGACTTGTCAATGTGGTTCGCCAAGACATGACCCTGACAAGATGGAGGATCGTTATCTCGAAGGTTGAAAGGTGATGGTCTGCGAATCGTGCTGTATGCTGTACGTGCTGCACCGTACATGGATCTTTTCAACAGGCTTGACTGGCAAGAGACGTGGAGGGGACTGACCGAGTGTGCGCGCGCTTCTGCTGGCTTTCCGTAGGTTGCAGGCAACTCGCATGCACACTACTACTACTACTGCCTGTGGGTGGATGCCGTGCGAAGCTGCACTCACACTGCTATGATTTGACCGTGCGGGCAGTACGCTAGTGTATCACACCTGGGGCTTTGGAGGTGGAGTGTTTTGCGGAGTCGCGAGCGAATTGAGTGTGGACATGCAGAACTGGTGTGCCGTTGTGATGCTGGCTGGCCTTTGGAGCTTCGGTAGCGTGGCAGGTAAGCAAAGCTTCGAATTTGAATGCAAGCAGCAGTAGCAGCAGCGCTATGGAGCGGCTCGATCATGACGCCTGATGGATCATCACCTTGGCCGCAATTAGAACAAGAGGCCGTGCAGGTGACCTTACCGCGCGCACGCGTGACGTCGGCGTGCTGTTGCGCGCGAGCGGCGAGACCACCATCAGCAGCTTCCCCACTTCGCTGCCTGCGCGAGCTTCAGCCAGCCAGCTGGCCTCCACTCGGGGAAGAAGCACGCAGAGGCTGCATGCCTATCCCACCATTGTGAGAGTCGTGAGTCGTGACTGCTGTTGACTTTGCGGAGCTCTGACGGATGGCCGCGATCATGCAGCGTGCCGATGCAGGTGCAGCAGTAGGCATAAGCAGCAGACGCCATCAGCAGCAGGCAGGCTCACAACTGCTGCTGGAGCCGTCAAGGAAGGAGTGAGTGGTCTTTCAGCGAGAGCTCGCTGTGCATGCATGCAGCAGTGCCTCGATCCACTCTCTTTCGTGATTTGTTATTCACCATTCACCATTCAATTGTGATTCTAATTACTCGTGACTCACGACTGTATTGCTCGGTCTCCGCTGCTGCAATGCTTGCCATGCACTCACCAACACAACAATTCGCCGTGTGCACCTGACCTGCACGTCTTCCGTCCCGCGCCTATCGCCATTCACCCTCGCGGGGACACCTGCAAGTTGACCACGGGGACGGCGCTGAACAGACTCACCACCATGCAGCCGTGATGCGCATACTGCATGCGTGCACATCCCGACTCTGGCTACTCCTCTGCAACTCTGTGACTGTACCGGTACAGAGCCTTTCGAGGAAGAGAAGCAGAGGCGTGCAGCAGCTAAGGGTCTGAGAAAGCATCGTAGACGTTCCGTTTGTGTGCGTTTCCCGACGGCTCATTTACCATTCACAAATCAGGGATAAGCACGAGTGCGAAGTCTTTTGAACGAGCTTGCGGCCATGCATGCAGTCTTCAGGTGCGTACTCTTAACTCAAGACTCACGACTGTTCTAAGCATGCAGCGCCTTGCTGCCTTTGCGGCGCCCGCCCATGGCCCCGCGTGCAGGCATGCATCGAGAAGC